AATGTTATCTGACCCTAAAAAGAGAATTCAAACTGGCAAATTACCTGATCACAATAAAATGTCCTGAACTAAGAAAAATGTTGACAGTGTACAGACTGAGTGAACACAGCCTGGCCATGGCTGGAAACGGGTCGCCACAGACAGAACTGGCTACCAGAAGAGGAGAGACTCTGCTCCCAGTGTGACAGAGGACCGGTAGAGACAGAGCTGCACTTTCTAACCTCATGCCCTCAATTCAAAACTTTAAGAGAAAAACAATTTGCAAACATTTCCCAAATATACCCCGAATTCGAATTATTATCAGACACACAGAAACTCCCCTATTTACTGGGAGAAATGCCCAAAAGTCAAATTATTGCAGCAAAATATGTCTCCTCATACCACGAAGTGAGGACAACCAGTGGAAACTCTAACTAAACTATTTTTTTTTCTTTTAATATATATATACACCCACACACACGCTTACTATTTTATTTATTTATTTTAATTTTTAATATATTATTTTCATTTTCTAACTTCTTTTTTCTTCTTCTTTGTTATTACTGTTATATTGACAACAGACTACTTGTTTTAACTGTAGCCTGTTACTTTACTACTGTTTTAATGACATTTTTAGTTAACACAAACTGATTGATTGATTGATTGATTCATAGTAATTAATTACTTATTGACTGAAATTGATTGATTGTGACTGTGATTGTGATTGAGTCAATCATAGTTACAGTATTGAGAGAGTTTGAGGTTTAACATCCATTTTATTGGACTTTTTCATCACAATCACATAATCACTTTAGAGCTTAACAAGACAAAGCAAAACAAACCAAAGAAACAACTTAATTAAATAAGAAGCCCATATGTGACTGAAGGCCTGCACCATCTGATGGTAAGCATGTTCCACCTTCGGACGGTCTTCAGTAGTCCCTTCAGAACCAGCACCGGTTCCACACTGCACCCTGACTCCGGTTCCTGTGGGTCAGCCAGATGGCCAACTTAACAGAACCAGATAAAAAGCTCTGTATCTGTTTGTAGCTATTGCCCGGTGTACAATCCTCCACTGGAGGAAACGTCTGGACCAAAAAACTCAGTCCACATGGACTCCTTTATCCCTGCCAAAGAGCGCAGGTTCAGAACCTTGACGCAGATTTGGTAGACTGCCTTCTTCCCTGAATCCTGAAACTTGTCCAGCTGAAGAGTTATGAGAGACAGCAACTCACCTGTTGTTGCTGTGCACCTGTCTGTCTGTCTGTCGCTCTCTCTCTCTCTCTCTCTCTCTCTCTCTCTCTCTCTCTCTCACCCCAACTGGTCGAGACAGACGACCACCCACCTAGAGCCGGAGGATCTGTCCTAGGTTTCTGCCTTTTAACAGGCAGTTTTTCCTTGCCCTTGTCGCCAAGTGCTTGCTCATGGTGGTACTGTTGGGTCTCTGTAATTAATGTTAAAGAGTTCGGTCTAGACCTGCTCTATTTGAAAAGTGTCCTGAGATAACTTCTGTTATGAATTGGCGCTATACAAATAAAATTGAATTGAATTGAACCTCCTCCCTCCTGCCACTCCCCCCACAGCTGGGGTGAGAGTCAGAGAGGGGAAACTGTACTCCCCACTCCACTGGTCGCACAGAGCATGGTCTTCTGCAAATGCTCTCAGGGGTTGTGGCAGTGCAGCACAGACTTCCTCCACCACTCTGTTGATCAACCTGATGGAGGTGATGTTGCTGTTCTCTCTCAGAGAGTCCACCGATGTTGCCGTCATCTTCATCAGATGGCCCAGTTTGGTGCAGCCAGCCTTTCTGAGACTGGCTCTCAGGCTGGCAGGCTACAGTGTTTGAGTCTTGATGAAATTGATGAAAAAAAGAGGTTCTTCAAACAACCACATACTCGGGTCTCATTTGTGCCACGTTTGGTCTTAAAGATCTGCCAAGCCTGCAGCACCGAATTGTAAAAAGGTGTCAGTCCAGTCGGATCCAGGTCCTCGGGCCGTAGAAGGAAGAGCTGTTTATCGTAGCCCAAGCGCCCAGCTCTCCACAGCAGCAGGCGAGCTGTATCAAACCAGCTTGGGCCACAGTCGTATAGTAGTCTTTTTGCAGTCTGTATTCTAAAGGAGGCGATCTTAGACTGGATGTTGATCAGTCCCTGACCTCCTTCAGCCACAGGCAGGTAGAAGGCTGCAGCCCGGATCCAGTGCCGGCCAGACCAGAAAAAGTCAAGGATGGCTCTCTGAACGTCCTCCATCAGGCCTCTTGGTGGTGTCAGAGCGATGAGTATGTGCCACAGAGTCGAAGCGACCAGGTTATTAGCCACCAGAACTCTTCCCCTATATGACAACTGGGGTAGCAATTATTTCCATTTAGACAACTGAGCGCACACTTTCTCCTGAACTCCCTCCCAGTTCTTTACCTGAAAGCCCTCGGTGCCCAAAGACCTCCTTCCCCCACTCAAGTCCTCCAGGCAGACTGGGCACTACCTGGTCCCTCCACTGCCCCATCAACAAAGCCTCACTCTTTGCCCAGTTCACCATGCAGATGAGGCCTTTTCATACAGCGACAGGGTGTCCTTCAAACATTGAACGTCCTCCTGATTGGTGACAAAAATATTTACATCATCTGCATAAGCAGAAACAGTAGGAGGACGACCAAGAGGACCCAGGCAGTGAGAGACCACTGAGCCAATCCCTCAACCTGCACAGCAACGGTTCTGCCCCCATCTTCACCATACATTCAGCACAGCTGCACAATAAACCCACCCAAGCCAAAAAACCATCACAAATGCCAAAAGCCCTAAGTGCAGAAAACAAATAAGAGTGATCCACCCGATCAAAGGCTTTCTCCTGGTCTAAAGACACAATACCAAAATTAACATTATCAAATTTACACACATCTATAACATCTCAAGATGTCCTTTAGTCTATTTGATAAGGCTCTAGAAAGCACCTTATAGTCTGTGCAGTGGAGGGCAACTGGCCTCCAGTTCTTAAGTAAGGCCAGGTCTCCTTTCTTGGGCAGCAGGGAAAGTACTGCCCGCTGACAGGGGACAGGAAGACACCCATTTCTGAAACACTCCAATAAGACACTATGTAAATCAGGACCAAGACTTTTCCAAAACTGCCTGAAGAATTCAGTGGAAAGACCATCAATCCCTGGTGATTGCCCTGATGCCATCTGGTTGACAGCGACAGTCAGCTCTTCCAGAGTGAGTTTGCAGTCCAGAGCAGCTTTCTCTCCCGGGCTGAGCTGAGGAAGTCCTTTCAGGAGCTCCTCGCGGCACTCCATGCTGCAGTGTTCTGCCCTGAAGAGGTTGGTATAGAAATCCACTGCATGGTTCCTCATCTTGGTTGGACTGGTGGTCACTCTTCCTCCAGGAAGCTTGAGGCAGGTCATCTGCTTCCTCTGTGCCACAGATCTCTCCAGATTAAAAAAGAAAGAGGTCGGGGCATCCATGTCCCTTAGCTGGAGGAAACAAGACCTGACAAGAGGTCCCTTCACTCTCTCCTGCAGGAAGTAGCTCAACTCCAACCTCTTCTCCTGAAGCCAATGAGCCATATTGGGATCAGAGTCTCCATGTCAGTTTCGAGTTCCTGAACTACTGCCTTGATGTTAGTAGTGGAATGAGAGGTGTATTGCTGACAAAAAACACAAATCTGTGCCTTACCAATTTCCCACCACAACTTCAAGGAACTGAAATCTGATTTTTTGATTTTCCACTGCTGCCAAAAACACTCAAAGCTCTGGCAGAAGGTATTATCTTAGAGAAGTTTGTTGTTAAAGAACCAGTAGGATTTAACCCTTTCAGCTGGTGAAACTCTGTGATGATGAAATGGTGATCAGAAAAGCCAACTGGACTTATGTTACTGTGAATTAGTCTGGAGGTGAGACTGAGAAATGTCGATCCTGTCCAGTCTCACTGCACTCACCCTGTTGTTACTGACCCTCACCCATGTGTATTGTCTGTATTGCGGATGTTTGACCCTCCATGTGTCTAACAGATCTAGCTGTGTGATGATGCTGTTTAGGCTTTGAGAGGACTGTGGGTGGGGTTCCTCGCTTGTCCTGTCCACAGTAAAGTCTACAGTACAGTTAAAATCCCCACCTATGATTAAATGATCCTGGTGGTGATTCTTACCTCATTATGTAGCAGGGTGAAAAAACCTACTCTTTCTGCTCCCTGATTTGGGGCATATATGTTTACAAAGCAGATTACAGAGTTCTTTATTTCTGCCCTTACAACCAACAGCCGACCCTTAACCACTTCAGTGGAAGATAAAACTGTTGCATTTACAGTTGCTCTGAACAGAACAGCGACCCCTGCACTAAGGTTAGTGCCATGGCTGAGGGCACACGAACCCTCCCACCATAAATTCCAGTCTACCTCGTTTGCTGGATTAGTGTGTGTTTCTTGTAAAAATAAAACATCTATCCTTTTTTGAGCTGAGACCTCAGATATTAATGCTCTTTTGTATCTGTCTCTCCCACCGTTAATGTTTAAAGATCCTATTTTTAGGCTCTGCATGTAGAGGTCAGAGAGGAGAAACAGGTAAAAAGAAACAAACAAAGAACAGTAAAAAGAGGAAATCACTGTGTGGTACATTAACATTTTACCTTCTTATCCTTTTGGTACATTGACGGATCTGATGAACTTTTCAGTGTCGCTGAAATAATCACATACTCTTGACAGATTTATTAAAAGTTACATTCAGAAAATTATTGGTTTCATCTAAAGAATATAGATCTGTGTTCCTGTTAGAGGTTTCACTGATGGATGTAGGGTTAGGGTTAGGGTTAGGGTTAGGGTTGGATGTAGTGTCTGATTCAGAGGCAGAGATCTAACGTTACGCTAGTAGCCAGAGAGCTAACGTTACGTTCCTTTCCTCTTCTTCTGTGTGTGTGTCATTTTTCACAGCAATCACAATCAACAATAAGAAAATCATAAAGAAAAACACCAAAAAAATACAAATTAAAATAATGACACCAAAAACAACATTTGAGCCAATCAGACGACAGGACTCACGTTTGACTGTGAGGTCAGCGTAGGAGGACACGCCCACGCCTCGCTCTGATTGGGCGATGCAGCGATAACGTCCAGAGTCGCCTTTGGTCGTGTTCTCCACGTCGAAGCTCGCCACGTAACGGCGAGAGTTTACTGGCTTGGTTTCCCTGACGACTGCCTGACGACCGCCCATCCCCTAGCAACCAGAAAATACATAATGCTCAGAGTAATACTACACACAGTATTACACACATATGAGTATTAACCATGTTTGAGTATTGATCGGTATTGATCGGTATTGATCGGTACCTGCAGGTAGAGCAACAGGTTGCTCTGCGGTCGTCCGTTGACGGTGCAGTGAAACGTCGCCGTCTGTCCTGCGTTCACCTCAACGCCTTTAATGTGCAGGAAGTGAGGCGTGCTCACTGAGGACACACACACACACACACACAGAGGTCAGAGGTCGCACATTGATGACATCATCACAATGAAACAGCTAACCTTTTCGCCCCCGATCTTTTGAGCCAGGCAGCGAGAATCACAGATCCAATCAGAGAATGGATCATGGAGGACACAGTTTGTGTGTGTGCGTGTGTGTGTATATGTGAGTGTGTGTGTATGTGAGTGTGTGTGTATGTGAGTGTGTTTATATGTGAGTGTGTGTGTGTGTGTGTGTGTGTGTGTGAGTGTGTGGGTGTGTGTGTGAGTGTGTGTATATGTGAGTGTGTGTGTGTGTATGTGTGTGTTTCCAATCACTTTATTCGACAGTATCGAGGTAAAAACCGTTCAGGTCAAGGATGTTTACTGGAGATTTCACACTGTGTGTGTGTGTGTGTGTGTGTGTGTTCACATAACAAAGCAACATCAAAAATTCAGGCAGATAAACAGACGGATGGATCAAAGTCCATGCTAATCAATTTATATTTTAATGAGCTCCCCTGTCTCCACACACACACACACACACACACACACACACACACACACACACAAACAAACAACAACAACACACTGACCTTGATTCAACGATGCCAGCTCAACTTTTAACATCGTTATCCAATTAAGCAGCCAAACCTTGTTAACCAATTAGGAGCCTGTTCTACAAGGGGGTGGGGCCTTTCTCTGTGTGTGTGTGTGTGTGTGTGTGTGTGTGTGTGTGTGTGTGTGTGTGTGTGTGTGTGTGTGTGTGTGTGTGTGTGTGTGTGTGTGTGTGTGTGTGTATGTGTGTGTGCGTGCGTGTGTGTGTGTGTGTGTGTGCTTACTGCACTGGTGTCCCTGCAGCGTGATGTCCTTGATGGCCAGTACCCCTCTCTGACCGGTGCTGACCGCCTCAAACACAACCTAAAACATCAGGATCAACATCAGGATCAACATCAGGATCAACATCAGGATTCTATTGTTATTGATTATTGATTGTGTGAAAAAATGTAAATAAAATATAATGAATATTGAATTCGTCATTGATCGGCTCTTTGAGTGTGTGTGTGTGTGTGTGTGTGTGTGTGTGTGTGTGTGCATTCCACAGTCTTATCGCCAAGGAAACCGGCAGCACACACTTCCTGTTGGCACACAGAAACAGGAAGTTCTCCTCCCTCCATTCTTCTTCTCTGCTTCCTGCATCACTCACTTCCTGTTTCACTGCTTGTTTTTCTTTTCATTTGTTTCTTCTTTTATTCTTTATTCTCTCACTACTTCCTGTTTCCTCACTTCCTTCATTCTGTCCTTCATCGTTTCCTTTCTCTGTTCTGTTCAACATCTACCCTCCTCCTCTTCCTCTCTCGTTAATCCTTCACTCTAATGAGGTGGATCGGTGGTTGCCGTGGTGATGCCAGCCACCTGTGTGTGTGTGTGTGTGTGTGTGTGTGTGCAACCAGGAAGTAGCTGTTGATTCCTGTGAAATCCCATGAGCGGTTATTATTTCAGTGTTTAAAGAAGAATCAAACAGTAATCTAACAGTATCGCACTATAGCTAACATGACAGTAACTCAGTACTGTCAGTGTGTGTGTGTGTGTGTGTGTGTGTACAGTGTGTGTGTGTTACCTGGTAGTAATTAGGCCAGAAGGTGGACACAGCTAGCTCCACCTCTTTCCAGATGTGGTAGGCGGGGCCTGATGAGTTAAAGACTGGAACTCCTAGCGGACTGTTGTTCTCTGCAGGAAACAAAAACACTGTGAACACACCTGGCAGCCCCGCCCACAAACACCTGGCAGCCCCGCCCACAAACCCCTGGCAGCCCCGCCCACAAACCCCTGGCAGCCCCGCCCACAAACCCCTGGCAGCCCCGCCCCACACAGTATGTGAGTTTGTAGTATATCACAGTACTCTGGAGTACTTCAGCATACCTGTTAAGTTATGTATTCTCATCAAGCATATTAGTTACATTAGATTTAAGTTATATCATTCCATGTGTTTGATATGCTCCCATATTGTAAGAATTACGGCCAGCCCATTTTGTTATGAACCTGTATTATAAGACGTACGCCCTGCTGTGTTTTTGTTTGGGCACTTTACGTCACTTCGGGACACTTTACACTGTGTGGCAATGTGAATGAGAAAAATGTGTGGGAGCAGTGCACTACGTGACTTTTCATGAAGCCATGGCTACTGATGTTCTTTTCACGGTGCTGTGAAGAAGAGAGTAAAATAAAAGCAACATGTGAGACACTTTTCTCCGTGTAATCCTTCCTCATCATGGCTGACGAAGCTGAAAGCGCAACAATACCTTTGAAATAGACACTACTGCATAGTGTACTAAGTATACTAATAATGTACTATTATAGTATTCTGTGTAGCATTGTAGTATTCTGGGCAGTATTGTAGTATTCTGTGTACTATTGTAGTATTCTGTGTACTTTTGTAGTATTGTAGTAGTCTGTGTAGTATTGTAGTATTCTGTGTACTTTTGTAGTATGGTAGTAGTCTGTGTAGTATTGTAGTAGTCTGTGTAGTATTGTAGTATTCTGTGTAGCATTGTAGTATTCTGTGTAGTATTGTAGTATTCTGTGTACTATTGTAGTATTCTGTGTACTTTTGTAGTATTGTAGTAGTCTGTGTAGTATTGTAGTAGTCTGTGTAGTATTGTAGTATTCTGTGTAGTATTGTAGTATTCTGTGTAGTATTGTAGTATTGTAGTAGTCTGTGTAGTATTGTAGTATTCTGTGTACTATTGTAGTATTCTGTGTACTTTTGTAGTATTGTAGTAGTCTGTGTAGTATTGTAGTAGTCTGTGTAGTATTGTAGTATTCTGTGTAGTATTGTAGTATTCTGTGTAGTATTGTAGTATTGTAGTAGTCTGTGTAGTATTGTAGTAGTCTGTGTAGTATTGTAGTATTCTGTGTAGTATTGTAGTATTCTGTGTAGTATTGTAGTATTGTAGTATTCTGTGTGCTATTGTAGTATTCTGTGTAGTATTCTGTGTGCTATTGTAGTATTGTAGTATTCTGTGCAGTATTCTGTGTAGTATTGTAGTACTCTGTGTAGTATTGTAGTATTGTAGTATTCTGTGCAGAATTCTGTGTAGTATTGTAGTACTCTGTGTAGTATTGTAGTATTGTAGTATTCTGTGTAGAATTCTGTGTAGTATTGTACTACTCTGTGTAGTATTGTAGTATTCTGTGTAGTATTGTAGTATTCTGTGTAGTATTGTACTATTGTAGTATTCTGTGTACTATTGTAGTATTGTAGTATTCTGTGGTGTATTGTTGTATTCTGTGTAGTATTGTAGTGTTCTGTGTAGTATTGTAGTATTCTGTGTAGAATTCTGTGTAGTATTGTACTACTCTGTGTAGTATTGTAGTAATCTGTGTAGTATTGTAGTATTCTGTGTAGTATTGTAGTATTCTGTGTAGTATTGTAGTATTCTGTGTAGTATTGTAGTATTGTGGTATTCTGTGTAGTATTGTAGTATTGTGCGTAGTATTCTGTGTAGTATTCTGTGTAGTATTGTAGTATTGTAGTATTCTGTGTAGTGTTGTGGTATTCTGTGTAGTATTGTAGTAATCTGTGTAGTATTGTAGTATTCTGTGTAGTATTGTAGTATTCTGTGTAGTATTGTAGAATTCTGTGTAGTATTGTAGTATTGTGGTATTCTGTGTAGTATTGTAGTATTCTGTGTAGTATTGTAGTATTGTAGTATTCTGTGTAGTATTGTAGTACTCTGTGTAGTATTGTAGTATTCTGCGTAGTATTCTGTGTAGTATTGTAGTATTATGTGTAGTATTGTAGTATTCTGTGTAGTATTGTAGTATTGTAGTATTGTAGTAGTCTCTGTAGTATTGTAGTATTGTAGTAGTCTGTGTAGTATTTGTACCTTTGACATAAACGTTGAGTGTGGCGGGCGTGGCACCCTCACGTCCTCCCGCCTGGTAGAACAGGAAGTTGACGCAGTGCGTGTCGTTCTCTTTGAGCGGCGGCAGCAGCAACTGAGCACGCTGACCGCTGTAACGACCCGACGTGTTCACAAACAGGAAGGAGGAACCTGCAGACAGGAAGTGACACCTCATTAACAAACGCAGGCTCCAAAATAGTCTTCAGATACCAGACTCTTCACAATAAAAGTATGAGGTCATAAAATCTGCAGAAAGACAAACAAACAAACAAACAGAAAATGAATTAAATTTGAATCACGTTGGAATCGTCAACTGTTTCATCTCCAGACTTCTTCCCCGAATATCCAAAAATATTATTCTGTCTGTGTGTGTCTGTGTGTGTGTGTGTGTGTGTGTGAGCTGTCAATCATTCTAGTTTCTCTGGATTTACTTTCCTTTATGTCTCAGTTTCTGTGAAACTTTCTATGAAATTCAAATTACTCGTCTTTTTTTTAGTGTGTGTGGGTTGAAGGGCGTCTCCATGGCAACAGCAGGAGAGCAGTAACAGTGAAACATATCTTCAGTGGTTGTACAGCTGTCAGTCAGACTGTTCAAACATTAAAAGTACTGTAAGAACAACAAGGTAACAACAAACAACAACAAATTAAAGCTGCGAGCAGCGATAAACGGGCCCTCGCCTGCACGCGTCGCCTGCACGAGTCGGGCGTGCTGGGGTCGCGTCATGTGTAGACCACACTGTGAAAACTGAATGTAAATCAGATGATGAACACCATAGAAGGCTTACTTCCTGTTCCCAGTAGGGGGCGCTATGAGTCTGACTGATTATTATGACTTAGCTGTGGTCAGACAGGTGTAATGTACAAGTTATGTACAGTTTCCTGTTTCATGGCGAAATGTTGACAACGTAAACTCATAAATATTAAAACTTTTAATCCTAAAGGTGTTTAGATAGTAGTAGTAGTTTCCCAGGATGCCTTGAGGCGCTGTACAAAATGTCGTGTGTTGCAACATCATGGAAAACACTACAATAAAAAAAATTTCTGGTCTCAACCCGCTGTCTCGATCGTGCTGTGGGTTCAGCTCGTGTCAGGGGTCCGGGACCCCGTTAACACCTGGATGCATGTCTATATGTCACATCTGAGGCTTCATTCCGTCACCTCATCACCTGGCGTCACTGTTTTGTCTGAGACGCTCACATTCACTGCATCAGTTGTCTTTAAAAGCAGACAGTTGAAGCGAACTTGAGCAGCTCCTCCTGTGACACATTAAACTGTGACAGTGAAGAGGATTCAGCCTCAGTAACGTCTGTTGGTCCTTTACTCTCCAACACAAACTGTAAAACCACTGATTTCCTCCCCAGAGATCAATTTCATCTGAGAGGAGACTTTTATTTGATTTTATTTCCAGGTTCACAGAGAGTGTGTGTGTGTGTGTGTGTGTGTGTGTGTGTGTGTGTGTGTGTCAGCAGATCAATGGTCCTTGAGGAGAATCGATTAGAAAAACAAGAGTTTTAATCATGGCAGAGAGAAGGGGAGGAGGAGGACAACGAAGAAGAGAGATAAATGAGAGTAAACGAGGAGGAGAGGAGGGGGCGAGCGAGGACAATACAGACTGATGAGGAGAGAGAGAGAGAGAGAGAGAGAGAGAGAGAGAGAACAGTACACACTGATGAGTTCATGCACAGTACGTAAATATGTGTCACGAATGAACATTTGTGTCTAACGATCAGCGAACTGATATCAACCTGCAGCACATTCAATGATCAGTTCTGGTATGGATGAAACTTTTACACCTCTAAGTCTAAAATGTTCTCATTAATCAATATTAAATCACTAATCTATTATCATTAAACAGTGTATAAACTCTAGAGGTATTCTATATTCAATTAATAATCTATAATCATTAATCAGTGTATAAACTCAATCAATAATCTATTATCATTAATCAGTGTATAAACTCTAGAGCTATGTTCTATATTCAATCAATAATCTATAATCATTAATCAGTGTATAAACTCAATCAATAATCTATAATCATTAACAGTGTATAAACTCTATATGTTCTATATGGAGTTGATCAATAATCAATAATCAGAAGCAGTCACACACTGACTGTTTACCATCCACTGTTTAGATCTTGGTGCTTTTTAACTCTAGATTTGAACCAGATGAAGGATTTTAGTCATCGGACGTCTGGATCTTAAGTTATCAGAGAAACAAGCTGAGCTAACGTTAGCAGCAGCTCGGCTCCGGGACGTCCTTTGTCTGTCCACAAATGAAATGAAAATATGACATAAAAAGTCATCAAATGAATGTTTTGGTGTCAGTCCTGTAATATCAGGAGTTTTCTTTATGCAGTCTGGAATGAACCCTGAGAACTCTTCAGAAAGCTTCAGTAGAGGTTGTATGAATTATGACTGTAACGAATGAATGTAAAAGGACAAAGATAATTTAAAGGAAAACGAGTCGTTGCTTTAATAAACTACTTGTTTCCTGCTGTGTTATGATCTGATCATTTATTGATCGATTTATTAGTTCTAATCAGTCATTTGTTGGTGTTTGTCCTCGTCTGCGTCTCTCTCGCTCTCTCTGTGATCAGACTCTGTTCCAGGTCATGTTTCCGTGGATTGTCCTGACTGGTTTGGTCATGTTCGCTGTGTATGTGTGAAAATACGTGTGTGTGTGTGTGTGTGTGTGTGTGTGTGTCTGTACCAGCTGTTTCCGTAGCAACCAAGGAATGTTCTTGAACAAACAGCCGGAGAGGTCGAGCTGCAGCGAACAGTTTACAGATTATAAGTGTGTACAGTCAGAGACAACCCTGAAATACAACTGCATCATCGTCCTGTTTCTGTCGGCTCTTAAACTCTTATGAGAGACTCTCAACAGCCTGCTTGGTGTCAGTGTTTCATTCCAGACTTCATAAAGAAAACTCCTGATTTTACAGTTTTATCACCAAAGCGCCACACACTGTATAATAAACGGTCTGAAATTAGCTCTAAAGACCAAAAGGCTTTAAACATGTTTATTTGTGCTGTAAATTTGGGCATTTTAATACGGGGCCTATGACCGCAAAGTGAATATTCGCCCTTTAATCTGTGTTTAATCTGTGCAGTTTGAGCCCAAAACAAACAGATGTTTCTGAGATTTAACGTCAATGAACGGATCAAAAGGATGCAACAAATGAACAAAAGGAACTTTTAAATTGCTTGTTTTCTGAATGGAGTTTGGTTGATCAGGACGGTGCTAACTGAGTTCACAGTAAAGTAAAAACAACCAAAGTAACAGACAAATATTTTCAGCAGTAGTAACTATAAATATGACTTTTTAAAAATTGGTGGATGGCGGAGTCCGCCACAGCGATAATGACAACAATTAACAATATTGTGGGGATCCCTTTCAGAGCGATCTCATGAACGATTATGTTGTTTACAACTTAATAAGGCTTACATAAAATACACATTAAAAAACATAATTTTATCTGAGACACGCTGCCACACAAAGCAAATTTTCACCTCACATTACTCATGAGAGTAAATATTCTCCCTTTACTCTGTGTCACTAGGGCGGTATGAGCCCAAATTGAACAGATGTTTCTGTGGTTTAATGTCAATAAACGGATCAATAAGATGCTGAAATAACGACATCATGACGCTGAATTCAGTCAGTCTGCAAGACGACGAGCAAACAACTTAAAACTTCCTTTCAATCAGTCTCGTTCTGTGTCAAGACTGCCTCAAGTGGCCGTTAGAGGAACTGCAGGTTTTCTGTTTCATTTGCTGATCATTAAACGTACAGTGTGTAATTCCTGCTCACATCACCACAATAACTGAAGAGGACGTGTAATGAGGCAGTGAAGCAGCTTGGCATCATGGGAGTTGTTGTCTTCACCACCATACTGTTGAAACTGGTTAATTTGATTTGTTCTGTCTGCTGGTTCTACTGGATCTACTGGTTCTACTGGCCCTGCTGGTTCTACTGGTCCTACTGGTTCTACTGGCTCTGGTTCTAATGGTTCCATGGTTCCATGGTTCTAATGGTTCTAATGGTCCTGATGGTTCTGCTGGATCTACTGGTTCTACTGGTTCTACTGGATCTACTGGTTCTACTGGCACTGCTGGTTCTACTGGTTCTATTGGTTCTGTTGGTTCTACTGATTCTACTGATCCTGCTGGTTCTAGTGGTTCTGTTGGTTCTACTGGTCCTGCTGGTTCTACTAGTTCTACTGGTTCTACTGGGTCTAATGGTCCTGCTGGTTCTACTGGCTCTGCTGGTTCTACTGGGTCTAATGGTCCTGCTGGTTCTACTGGCTTTACTGGTTCTACTGATTCTACTGGCTCTACTGGTTCTAATGGTTCTACTGGTCCTGCTGGTTCTACTGGTCCTGCTGTTTCTACTGGTTCTATTGGCTTTACTGGTTCTACTGGTTCTAATGGTTCTACTGGTCCTACTGACTTTACTGGTTCTACTGGTTGTAATGGTTCTACTGGTCCTGCTGGTCCTACTGGTCCTGCTGGTTCTACTGGTCCTGCTGTTTCTACTGGTTCTATTGGCTTTAATGGTTCTACTGGTTCTAATGGTTCTACTGGTCCTACTGACTTTACTGGTTCTACTGGTTGTAATGGTCCTACTGGTCCTGCTGGTTCTACTGGTCCTGCTGTTTCTACTGGTTCTATTGGCTTTACTGGTTCTACTGGTTCTAATGGTTCTACTGGTCCTACTGACTTTACTGGTTCTACTGGTTGTAATGGTCCTACTGGTCCTGCTGGTTCTACTGGTCCTGCTGTTTCTACTGGTTCTATTGGCTTTACTGGTTCTACTGGTTCTAATGGTTCTACTGGTCCTACTGACTTTACTGGTTCTACAAGTTCTGCTGGTTCTGCTGGAGACAGTCAATCAATTATTAGCTCATTAATCGTTCTGAGAGGCAGAGTGTGAGCAGAAGGAAAGAGACAGAAAAACAAACTGCTGATCTCGATCGTGTCTTGGCGGTTCTCTCTCTCGTTAACCTCCCGCCCACCTCTCACCTGTTGGCCAATCACAGACGACCCCTGCCATCTCTAAACCAATCACATCAGACCCAGCTCACACACACACACACACACACACACACACACACACACACACACACACACAGATGGAGGGGGGTAATT